GCCAACTCTGTCGGACCAAATGGCTCTACTTTCCGGTTCTTTGTGCAAATGTCAACTGCCCAGTCACCCTTACAATTCGCCGAGGAACTCTGAAGCGGCATTGGGATGCACTGCATAAAGGTATTCCTTACCCTCTACATATCCCCCAAATCAAAGTCAATAAAGGCTCTGTATGCCGCCTATCTACGATAACAACAACTTCTTGAGCCATCGATTCACGTGTAAATATTTATAACAATCAATTATAAGATGATGTTAATTGGAGAGGATTTTAGGCTTCAAGTATAACGCTCTAACAGGCAAGAACTAGATTGACCATATGATGGAAGAAGACAAGTTGTAGGCATTGACAAGGGCAGGATAATGAGCTTTCCCTTCTTCACGAGCCCAGTCAATATATCTCGAGGTTTCGCTCCGTCGCTCTCAAAATTCAATATCCTAAATGATCTTAATATGGACCAAGAGCAGTTGCAGGCAACCGCTGGATTTTAGGTAAGGGTCCTTGACACATAAATGGGCTGAAGTTGAAACTGAGTTCGAAGGTCAAGATGAAATTTGCGTTTGATGAAGCAATAGAAGAATTTGGGGAATACATTAAAATAGCATCTCGATACGCCCCATTATACACTTGAAAAAGTCAATAGTTAGCCAGTGATCTTCTTGTCTAGTGTATTGACCATTTAAGAAACTGGCCATGTCGCGTAAATGCTACCAAGGAAATAAATCTTGCACTAAAGACTATCCGATCATTCCATAAATGTCGGAAATGTACCCTTGGGCTCGCGAGGCACCAACCGAGCCCTACCTGCCTCGCGAGCCACCTTGGACCCAACGACACCTGGCGAGACCTCACGATGAACTTCGCGAGACTAGCCAAATCAAACCAATACAATGACTTGGGTAATTTTGTCGTAGGTATAGGAAAGGAGATGGCATAAGTTGACCTCTACCTTCTCTCCTCCATCCGACCGCCAGAAACCTATGGACCAGTTGCCTGTCAAGATAAGTTCAACATCCTTTAAGAAATCTCTGGATTGTTTCTTATCCATGTGGGCGAGTTCGGAAGTCCCTACAGGAATGATACCTGGCCCGGATGCAAATAGTCACCGATATGCGACCCAGTAGTGCAAGGTTTCGGGGAGAAGTTTTAGGGGACTAAGGTGATCTCTTCTCTGCTACTGTTTCGTCGAGCTGATTGGCTTGTGTATCCCAGGACTGCCGATACAGATCGGCAGCGCTATTGCATTTGCCATGTTCTGCTCTATTCCTAGGTAGGCGACTCTATTTTATGGATCCTATGAATATTAAATGGCTTAATCTAGTTACTGGGTGGATGGAAATGTCCCGAAGGCTTACACTTGGTGATACCACGTTGACCAATAGGCCGGGAGACTCATTTCTTAGCTGGTTTGTCTGCTCCCTTTCTACACAATAACCCTTATGACATAATAATCTTCATTAGATCTAATTCCACTATCCTTCTTATCCTGTTCATCATATGCGTTCCTCGTCCTCGTCGCTGCTTCACGGGCATCTTGTCGCAACTAAGAAGTTAGCTATATTATTAGGAAATGTAGTCTATATTATGAATTAAATTATATTAACGTCAATTACTTGCGAGAAATGAGTCATTTTAACCATAATAAGAAGGAACCGTCGCCGCTGCCGTCCTTCCTACTGTATCCTCGCGAACCTCCCAAAAGTTTATGGAGGACCTTTTGCGGCGCCTCGCGAGGTATGGCCACTCGCGAAATGGTTTTTGGCCCTTCGCGAGTCGAAGGGTACATTTCCGACAAAGCTAGTCGGCGCTTCAAAAGGCGTCTATAAATCTCTAAAGCTTGGAGATTGTTAATAATGAGTCTGTCAAGAAATTATTAGGTTAAAATCCTTCTTTTAATTCTATAATGACGGACCATGTAGTCGGTGTGGTTGTGGGATTAGGCTCGACGGGCCCGAATACGCTCCAATAATTCTGGTAGTCGATATGGTTTGGTCTGGCGAGATGATAAGAAAATGAACGTTTCGTTCAACATGAGAGAGTGCGGACCATAACTTCGTCCATTCCAGCATTGATTGCATTCTCCAACTGTTCTTTTCGTGCATTCCCAGTCAATGCGATTATACTGCACATAGACCTTGTTAGTTGTATTCTCAACGAGAGGAGAACCATAGGTCACCGTTGCGGTGGTATTTGACCAAGCGACTCCAACCTACGCAACTCTCTTGTCGCCTCCAATCCGGACATGACAGGCTACAAACGAGATGAACAACATGGTCGGACATACTAGTTTCTGGACTTGCCATTTCACAGTCCATCAAAATGCAGTCAAATGTTGCGTCTCCTGCTTTCACTGTCAATTCTACTGCTTCGGCTCCATTGATCGCTCCGACTGCTACACATTTGTTCGCCTTCAGTTGACGACTGAACGATCTCAGTACCACTGCAAAAATAACAACGACGCTTCATAACGCACATTAATATTGTCTATGGAAGGAGGTTAGAGTGTACTTTCTAGAAGGTAGATGTCTCACTCACTCGGTTAATCTGGTTATCTTCCGCAACAAGAATGCTATAAACGGTTGAGTCGATGCGATAGAATAGAAGAATGAGTCTTCTCACTGAAGCGGCGCCACTCCTTGTTGTCGATCGTCTTCCCGTGTTGCCCCGGCCAATTGTAAGGGTGACTGGGCAGTTGACATTTGCACAAAGAACCGGAAAGTAGAGCCATTTGGTCCGACAGAGTTGGC